CCACTCCCCCGGAGCGGCCCCGGGGTTCGCCGGAAACTCGCACCCCCCCCCCCCCCCCCCACCCCCCCTTCCCCGGCAGAGCCACCCCGGCGACCCCCCCAGAGGCTGAAGCTCAGCCTCGAGGCTGTAGCTGAGACTCCTTGAAACTCACACGCCGGATCGGCGGATTATTCCTTTGTTCTATAAGGTGTAGCGTCCGGGTAGAAATCCATGGTCTGAGGGGTTGAGCTGGACACAATGGTATGGTGGAGAAGGCTGCTAAGCTCGTGCCGCGCAGCTGGAGCATAAACGGGCGGGGGGGCGGCAGACGTCGCTGCTGGCTGAGGAGCTGGCTGCTCTGCGCGAACTTGTCGCTTCTCAGCAGGCCCTCGCAGACAATCAGGAGGCGGGCCGCCGGCAATTTGCAGCTGCTCGTCGGGAGTTGGAGGGCCACCGGGAGGAGACCAGCGCCACCCAGGCGCACGTGGCGCGGTTGCAGCAAAAGCTCGCGGAGGAGCAGCGGAGTCGCTGGCGCTCGTGGAGCAGGAGTGGGCCTCGGCTTCTCAGGGGGCCTTCGACCGCCAGAATTTGGTCGCTGTTCGCTGAGGCTGAGGCGGGCGAAAACCAATTGGGCGACGGCCACGTCCTCCGCCAGGCGCTGCGCGGGCGGGACGGCGAGGGGCCGCTAGTCCAGCTATATTGCCGGTCGGCAGGCTTGGGCTTCGAGGATATTAAGAGTTTGTGCGCAGTGCGACACGTGATGGCGTTGAACCTATACAACAGCGTGGGCAACGCCGGCGCGAGGGCTCTCGCGAAGGCTCTGCCGCAGATGACAAGCCTGCAGGAGCGTGACCTCGCCGCCAACAGTATAGGCACTTCGGCGTGACTGCCCTGGCCCAGGTGATGCCGCCGCTGCCCCTCTTGAAGGTGGCGGGTTTGAGGCGGAGCTACAACAGGGACGACCCCTGAGAGGCGGCCATCACAGAGACAATGGAGTCGCACAGGCCGGAGCTGCACATTTGGGCTTCGCGTGACGGCCGCGCCGAGCCGCGCCCGAGGGTTTCGCGTGACCGGGTGACCACGCTGGGCCACGCCCCATCCACGGCCTGCGCTGGGGGTGGCATCCGAGGTGCCCCCGCGCGGGCTCAGTCGTTGTCCGCAGTTTGGATCACCAGTCGTGGCGCGGGTGCCGACTTTCAAGCGCGCTCGGGGTTTCTTCTGCCTCCTTTTCGTCCTCCTCTTGCTGCCCACCTCTCGCCTCGTCATCCACCCTCCTCTTCCCATCATCTTCCGTCTCCAATCTCGTTTGGAAAGCTTCGGCGCCACCACTCGGGCGTTCCATTCCGATGGTGCGACCGACCCCAGCGATGGATAGCTGGATGGAGAACCTTTGCCAACAAGCTGGTGTAGTGATTTCTACGTTGTTCGGAACATTGCGGTCCAGAACGGACAGTCATTTCTGGAGGCGGAGGAGGGCGCCAGAGGGCCGCGGATGCTTGCACTGGCCAGCTCAAGGCCTCGCGTCTTCTCTTTCTCTCTCTCTCTCCGGATGCTCCTTATGGAACCGTAGGATGGCTTTGGCACCTGGTAGCTGCCACTCGGGAGTTCCATCCCGAGAGCGCGACCGACCTCAGCGACGGAGGGCTGGATGGAGAGCCCTTGTCAGCAAACTGTTTTACCGATTTCCATGGTTGTGGGCCCGATCCGTGTCGGAACGGAAAGCCACTACAGGAGGCGGAGGGCGCCAGAGGGGCCGCGGAGGCTGGCACTGGCCATCCCAAGCCAAGGCTCCGCATCTTCTTTCTTCGGATGTTGCTGCTGTGTGTCGGAAGGGCCATCCCGAGAGCGCGACAGCCTCAGCGATTGGGTGGCTGGTGGAGGGGCGGGTGTAAAGGGAACGTGAAAAATATAACGTCGGGGGATGGTGGGGGGGATCGCGAACCCCAAAACTGCAGTTTTTTGCGTACAGGCGGTTACAATACAAAGTTTTTCCCGGGATTGCAGTCTTAAGATCGGTCCGCCTTTTGTGGAGCCTGAATGTGCACCGATTTTACTGTGGATGTTACCTCACGGCGGGCTTGTTTTCAGGTTGCAACTCCTGGGAGTTTTGATGCAGCTTCGGCCCTGGTATACCCTGGAATACCTTTGGTCGAAGTCCGGCCTAATCCGGGCTATCTTCCGAAAGCCGGCTTGATCGTTGTTCACTGTGGCTTTGTCCGGATTATGTTGCCCACGATGGCCTCCCAGGAGTTCAAGTCTCCAGTTTGAAGCGTACTTCTAGGCGGACGTTGGCGCACGCATGGCCTTCTCCTTCTTTAAAATCAGATGCCAGAAATCCATGAGTTTGGCCTCGTCGGGTCCTCGTTGGGATCCTCTTTCAGTCCTCCTGGGCTCTTGGGTCCCCTCAAAGCCCTCTTGAGAGCCTGTTGGGCCGTCTTGGAGGCATCGTTGGCCGTCTTGGAGGTATCTTGGGTCATCTGGGAGGCTTTGGTGGCCCGCGTCGGTCGTCTTGGAAGCGTCGGAAAGTCTTCGAGATCCCCAGGGAGGTGTTCGGGCGCCCAGGAAGCCTCGGAAGGGGGAGAGATGCACGCGGAACTCCGTGGCCAGCCATGGGGGTGGGAGGGGCGCCTTCTAGAAGATTTACATAAACTCGCCCAGTCAGCATCTGGCATTCTACCACACACAATCATGCCATGGGGCGCGGTGGCGGATTATGCATATGGGCGCTGGCCGAAAGATCGATCGAGGCCCCCGAAGGCCTGGAAGGACCACGCATCTCGTGTTCCCCGCGTTCACGCCCCTGGGCGCTGTCAGCGTCGACGAAGTTCGTGCCCGCGCGAACGTCCACAATCCATCGCCCTCGGGGTCGTTGCCCCAGGACCTCGGGGAGTGGTGGATGTGTATACGCATTTGCCCGCCCCTGCGGACATTAATTTCCGCGTCAGTTCCGGCCAGAAGCAGGGCCCCCGCATGGGGCCAGAGACCCTCGTGTTTTCCAGGCGGTCGTGCCACCCGAGCGCCGCCGCCGCCGAGCGTCTCATTCCCGCGCGCATGCCCACTGTTGCGGAATCGTCGCACCCAGGGGGCCCCGGGTGGAGCGGTGGACGCAGATGTGCATCTGCCCGCCCCTGCTGCTGACGTTGAGATGTGCGCGGGCACTCCCTGGGCAGGGTTCCATGAAATCGTGGGGTTGTGTGCGGTTTCTGGCTCTGGAGCTCTGGCATCTGGCTCTCTTTCCGTCGTCGTCCTCCACCGTGTCGTCGCCTCTGGTGTCGGTCTCTTCTTCTTCCTCCTCTTCCTTGCTGTCGCCCCCGTACTCTCGTTGTTTTCCTGCTCGTCCTCCTCTCTTCTCCTTCCTGCTCGTCCTTGCCGTCTTCATCCTCGACCAGGTCCATGTCCTCGTCATCCTGGTCGTCATACTGTCTGACAGGTCCCATCGTTCTTGTCGTCATCCTCGCTCTCCTATCTCCTCGACCTCGCCCATGTTCCTCCACCCTCCCCATTCTCCTCGTCGCCGTCATGCTCGCCCTCCTCGTCATCGTCCATGTCCTCCTCTGCCCTCCTAGACCTCGGGACCAGCTTGACTCTTTCGTGCACGGCGCAGCTCGACTGTGCGTGCCGTCTCTCCACCCCGATGTCGCCAGACCTCCCTGCACGATGCATCCTCCTTTTTCTCCCCCCGTCGCCCGTTGCCCCTTGTCCCGTTCTTCCTGCTCCTCCTCATCATCCCCTTCCCAATTCCTCGTGCTGCCGCTGTTGCTCCTCCTGTCCTGCCCTTCCTCCGGCCTCCCCCTCCTCTCCTGACCCCTCTGGTGCCAGACAGACACGCTGCTCTGGACCCTGTCAGTTTCTTCGTGCCCCTCCTCCCCCCCTCTCTCCTCGACATTCACTCGATCTGAGTCTCCTCTCCTCCACAATTTTATCCGATGTGAATACTACACTACTCTCTCCCCAGGTCCTGTCCGAGCGGGGGCCGCTTTCTCCTGCATACGTTTGTTTCTTGCACATCAGATGTCAAAAAGGTAATTTACATGTTTTCAAGTCCGAGCGTGTCCCTGGTGCTTCAAACTGGGGGTCCCGCTTCAGCGTTGCCTTCGATTGAGGACGCCGCTTTGCTCTGGATCCGAGTACTTCATCGTCGTTGTCGCCCCGCGCCTGTCCCTTCCTCCGCCTTCCACTGGTCCTCCTGCTCCTCCCTTTCCTCCTACTCCTGCTTTTGCTATTGCTCTTCCCCCTCCTTGTCTTCTCATCCTCACCCTCTTCTTCCTGCTCATGTTCTTGCTCATGCTTCACTTCTTTGTCCTCTTTCAATGTGCACAGCTACCCGTTACTAGCTGCGCATAGGTAACACGATAAGGGGCCTTTTTGAGGTTTGAGGTCCGCTATGACACCAGTCGGCGGATAGAGAAACATCGATACAATCAGAAGGGACGGATGGGAGGTGTGGGATGTCAAATATAACGCGAGCGCACCCAGCCTTCCTCATCTCTCCGCTCTCCCCCTCAGTATTCTCGTCTTCCCCTTCGTCTCCTCATTGTTAGTGATATTATTTCTAGTACTACCGTTATCATTAGCATTTAATATAGTATGGTTATTCTTAATATTATTCCTCCTCCTCCTCCTCCTCCTCCTCCTCCTCCTCCTCCTCCTCCTCCTCCCTCATCCTTCTCCCTCCTCCCTCCTCCCTCCTCTCTCCCTATTCCCCTCACCTCGTCTCCCACCTTCTCCTACCCGTCCTGCTCCTCCTCCTCCGCCTCCGCCTCCTTCTCCTCCTCCGCCTCCTCCTCCTCCTCCTCCTCCTCCTCCTCCCCTCCTCCTCCTCCTCCTCCTCCTCCTCCTCCCCCTCCTTCTCCTCTTCCTGCTGCTCCTCCTCCCTTCCTCCCCCTCCTTCTCCTCTTCCTGCTGCTCCTCCTCCCTTCCTCCTCCTCTCGCCGCCGCCGCGGGGGTCGGGGTCGGGGCGGGGCGGGATGGAGGGGGCGCCCGGCGGTGGCGAGGGGCGAGCCCCTCCCCCCCCCTTTCAGCGACCTGAGCCACCTGCCCCTGCTGCATGAACCGGCCATCCTGCAGGCTCGGGCGAGGAGGGGAGGGGAGAAGGAGGGATGGGGGGGCTGGGCAGGGATGAGGAGGGAGGGGGGAGGGAGGGAGGAGAGGGGCATCAGCAGGAGGAGGAGGAGGAGGAGGAGGAATTGGGAAGATGATGGGGGGAGGGGGGGTGCTAGGGGGGGAGGGAGGGATGAGGAGGCAGGACCTTCGACCTTCGACCGCATGAGGCTCATTGATGGCCCATCTCGAACAGAGACAGGTGCAAGTGCTGTGCAAGCAGCTTTGCAGCAAAGACGAGAGGAACTCGAGGGCTGACAATTTTTCAGTCGGGGTTGCCGTGGGTCAGATGATCAATAGTCAGCTCGATGCTGAGACACTTGATCAGGCGCAAAGGGCACACGATGTCATGAACGCACCGTGCAGCAAGTGCCGACCGAGACGGCAGGAGGGTGGGGAGGAGGAGAAGGAAGGTTAGAAGAGGGATGGGGGGGAGGAGAGGAGATGGGGATGAGCCCAGGGTGAAGGAGGAGGAGGAGGAGGAGGAGGAAGGGGGAGGAGGAGGGTTCGGTGGTGGTCGTGCAGTCGATTGTTAGAAGTCGTTTGTGGAGTATGAGGAAGAGGGATATCAAGTGGCGGCGCTGGGCGGCCCCTCACCCGGCTCACGCCGGCCGCCCGCCCCGCTGCTCCTGCAGCTGGGCGCCCCTGCCTGGCCAACCCTGCGGCCGGGCGCTCGCCTGGCTGGGATGCGTGCGCCGGCGGGGCCCGGCGGCTCCTCATTTTCCCCTGCTCATGCCGCCCCCCGCCGCCTGGGCCTCCCCTGGCGTTGGTAGGTGGCTTTCGCGCCCCGCTGCCCCGCTGAGGCAGTTCAGCAGCTCAGCAGCTCAGCAGCTCAGCAGCTGGCTGGGGGGGCTCGTCACTGCAGCATTCTGCTGAAGCGCGCGGTTTGCAGCCCCGTCTCCCTGCCACGGCCGCTTGGTCTGTGTCTGCATCTTGTTAGCGCCGTACCTTTGCAGCAAAGTCTGACGCTTGGCGGCGGACGTTTGGATGCTTCCACTCTTGCTGCTGTGGGCCTGCGTGCCGCTCTTCCTGACAGCGCCTGCAGCCTTGGATTCAGCCCCTGGGTGCGGTCGTGACCCCGCTCCGCGTCCCCTGCCAGGTCGCCCGAGCACGCGCTGGCCGCACCGGCGCGCTCATCCTGATCTTCTCTCCGTGGTGAGTGGTCCCCTCCTCCGCCTGCTTTCTGCGGCCGCCCTCTTCCTCCTTCCTTCTCTTCCTGAAGGTTATGTAGTACACCGCGCGTCCCCGGCTACGAGCGCGCGAGCGGATCGCCTCTGCCGCGCTGCGACAGAAAAGTGTGTGTGTGTGTTTGTGCGTGTGTGGGTGTTTGTGCTTGTGTTTGTGTTTGTGTGCTTGTGTTGTTTGTGCCGTTGTTGGGGCATCATCCTGTTTTTTGCCCCCATCATGTTTCTTGGCCGCCCTATCTTGATCTTACACCGCCTGTTTTCTTGTCGGCCCTGGTTCGCCACTGCGTGTTTCTGGGAGTTATGTCTTTTCACGCGTTTCTCTGGCCCTCCCACAATTGTCACCGCTGGCTGGACGTCGGCAGCGCGTCGGAAGAACACGTGTATGTGTGCAGCGCAGCTGCCCACTCGCAACGCCTTGTGTGCACCTTGTCGCCGACTTGTTGTACATGTTCTTTGCGCAGTCCACCACCTGCAACGTCTTGTGGAATTGCGTTCTTCTACCGACCCCCGTTTTGAGCTTTCGCTGAAGTGACGTCACTCGGCCGCTGGAGGATATATGTGTATATAGATACATATGTGCACGCCCACATATGTATATATACATTTATTGATATACGTGTACCGATAGTGTTGTGTATATTTGTATATTAACACGTGTGTGTCCGTTTGTGTGGACTTCTGCTGGCCTCAGGTGGTCTTTGCGGCAAGCGCTGGGTTGCTCCGCGCGCCCTGCCCCAGTGGACGCGCGTGCCACATGTCGGCGTGTGCCTGGGCAGCGGAAGAGGAGCAGGAGGAGGATCCTCCAATCCGCGAGTGCTGGGGAATGGAGTATCCTTTCACGGACAGTTCAGAGCGATGGGGGACGATGAGAAGGAAGAAGATCAGGACGAGGAGGAGAAGGAGTCAAGGAGGATCAGCACGAGGGAGGGAGAGGGAGACGACGAGCGTGAAGGCGGGGAGGAGGAGAAGGAGGAGGTGGACGCCCTGCTGCGGCTGGCCCGGCCCCGCTCCGCCCTCGCCGCCCCCCGTGGGTCCACACCGGGATTGCCAGGCGCTGCAGCTGCGCTTCAGCGAGGGCGTGGTGTACACCCTGACGGGCCCGGCGCCGCTCGCGTGCACGTGCTCGCGCGCGTGTGCACGAGCGTGTGCCTGCGTGAGAAGCCTCGAGCCTCGATCATCACCTCGATCATCGACCCCATTCCCTCGAACCTCGTTCTTCAAACATCGATCCAGGGGGCTGGTTTTACAGCGCTTCTTGGGCAGGATCGGATCGTACGAGTAGCTATTCTGCTTCACACCGTACCTGGCTCGGGTGCTGCACAGGCGCTGCCCCGATGCAAGCAGCACAGACTTCCTCGTCGAGTTCAGGGGAGGTCATGATAGGAGCCTGTCCAGAAATTCGTCGCGAAGCCTCTCCGAAAAGGTTGTGTTAAGACGAACGCCGAAACGGTAAACTACCAACTTCCCCCACCCTTCCTACGGGTCCTGCAACCACTGCCTGGATGATCCCCGTCAGGCTCTGGGACTCTGGGACTGGACCCTAGGGCGCGGCAGGCACCTGCGAACGAGAGCGCGAGTCCAGTTCCACAGCGGTTTGCAAAACCATCGCCCGCTCGAAGACGAAGACATCAGCGACGAGGAGTTCCAGAATGAGTATTCTGAAAGAGCGCATCTTCACCAGCGCGCTTGAGGTCAACCAAAGCTAGGGCTGCCCCAGAAGAGCTTCCAATTGAGCCTTCAGGGCAGAAGGCCAGAGTGCAATCTGCGAGGAAGGGCCACCTGCGTGGAAAGCCAGTGCCGGCCTGTAAAGGGTTGGCGTCAAGGGAATCCTGGGATTTCGGAGCCACGTTCGGGACACCTCGGACCAATGTGAGTCAGCTTGCGCCATCACGGAGGCAGTATCAGGCCATATGGGGCTGTTCTCGAGTCATCCCGGGTCATCTTGGACGCTTCAAATACTAGCGACGCCTCCTGTCCCCCCAAACAACACATATACAAAGCAACTGCTGACGACATCCGCGGTCCAGACACTGGGGAGGGGACACGGCGACCTTGCTCAAGGGGAGGATGAGTTTTTGAGGAAGAGCTGGAGTCCAGCAGACCACCTACGCCGAGAGTTGGTGGGATCAAACTGCCTACTGGACACCATGGGCTCGAAGCTATTGTGGCTCACGCTGTGCCCGGCTCGAGTGCTCTTCTCTTGCCCGCACGCCAAGGTAGTGCATGGCCTTGCTTGCCCAGCCTTCGCGTGAATTCTTCGCGTGCGGCTGGTCTTGAGTGCTGCGTCTTGTCCGCGCTGACCCTCTGCTGCCTTCCATTCGCTGCCTGGGCGCCGCTGCGAATGTCCATCCCAGGCCTGGCGCAGAGCTGGGCGCACCCTCAGCTGCAGCTGGCACGCTCCCTCTGCCCTGGCGGTCGTGCTGGCTCGCTGGGGCTGGCAGGCACCACAGGAGGTAGCGCATTCTGGGACCCGCTGGTGAACGAGAGCCACCATCTCCACTGGCGAATTGAGCGCCTCTGGGCCCTGCACGGGGACGTGTGGCCGGAGCGGCTGCCGCAGGGCCTTGAACTCCTGGCTACCAATAGCGTGCCAGATCAGCACCGCCCGAGTGATGGCGATGGTGCCTGCGCCCAGGTGTGGTTCAGGGCGCAGCTCTTCTACTACGCCTGGTGGCACTTCCTCCTGGCGCTAGAGGACGCGCGCAGGTCCGAGGAGGAGGAGGTGGAGCAGGAGCGGGCTAGGCTTTTTCAGGGCCTCAACGCCTACACGGCTTATCTTGGCATGAAAGACGTCTGGGATCCGCTGTTCCGCCAGGAAACTCAAACCGGGAGGCTGTTCCGGACGCTTCAGCGGTTCAGAACGGGCGTGCAGGCTCACACTTGCGTGTGTCAGTTGGCGTGGCAGGAGCAGCTTGAAGATCTGGCTAGCTTCTTCCGAAAGACCTTCCTGGTGCACCAGACCAAGCTGGGGCCTAGCGACGACACCATTCGAGACCAGCTTCTTGCGAATTCCATGACTCATGTCTGCTTTCAGCCTGACGGTTGGGGAAGGTTCATCGTACCATCAGAGTACCTGGTGCGGCCAGAGTCAGATCAGATCACAGGGGCTTTCCCTTGCCTGCCTGCGCGAGTTATTGGAGCTCTCCTCTGTGGCCAGTGCACCATGCTTGCAGGAGACTCGACGAGAGCCAGGCAGTATTTTGACTCTGTGCATCAGATGCTCCAGTTTTCCCTGGACTGCTTCGACCCGGTAGTGGGAGCAGAGACACTCCCAGCCATTGACATCTTCGTGTACCTCAGACATTTGGACGCCGAGCTGTCGCCCATGTACGAGATGCAGGCCTCCGACGCAGCCACTGCCAGCGCAAGGCTGGCCTCTGTGGCGCGCGCCTGGGAGTCGCGGCGGCTGCGGCCCGTGGATACCCTCCTCGGGTTCGCGGGCGGCGACCCCCGCGGGCGCGCGCCGCAGGATGGCGGCGAGCCCTTGGTCGACGCTCGGTGGCCCTCGTTCCGGCTGCCGCCGCTGTGCCTGGGGGCCGGCGGGCAGGTCCACCTGCGCCTCCGGCCCAGCGGCGCGGGGCCGTCCGACGGCGTGCGCGAGCGCCTCTACCTCCAGGAGGCCGGCGGCCTGCGGCTGGTGCCCGTTCGGGCCTCCCTGCCGCCAGGCGCGGCGGTGGGGGACCTGGGCGAGGTGGCCGTGCTTATGCCGGTGGATCCGGCCTCTTGGTGCAACCTCGGGCACGCTATCATGTTCCTGGTGCCGCACGTGGCCGCCGCCTTCACGGCCGCGCGGGCGTCGGGCGGCATGGCGGCGGTATGGCGGCTGAGGGAGCGGTTGCGCGTGCACGTGTACCTGGGCAGGGAGCACCTCGCGTGCGGGCGGCGGGAGCTGCTGAGCTGGCTGACGCTGCTCTCGGCGCATCCCCCGGTCCTCATCCTCCGGCCAGGCGTCGCTGCGGGAGAGGTGCTTGCCGCTCTGCCCCCGGGCGCCGCAGTCCTGCTCGATGAGGCGGTGCCGCGCTGCTACCTCGCCGGCCAGTGGGGTGGCGCGTGGTCCGGGAGGGGCAGCGCCCGGAACCGCGACTTCGATCTGCTCGTGGAGCTCTCGGGGAGCTTCCCTGGCTGGCGCGTCGCCGCGCGCCCTCTCGCGCAGAGGGTCTGGGGCGCCCCCCCTCCCGAGAGCGGCGCCCTCGGCGAGCCCGCCGGGCGTCGCGCGGTGCGGGCGTTGCTGGTGCAGCGCGGGCGCCTCGCCACGAGCTCGCGCAGCATCGCGAACGCCGCCGACATCGAGGCGCTCGTGGCGGCGAGGTACGGGCCCAGCAGCGTGCGGCTCGCCACCGTGAGGATGGAGGACTTCACCCTCGCGGAGGAGGTCGCGCTGGCCGGCCTCGCGGACGTGCTGATGGGCACCTTCGGCTCCGCGATGTGGTGGGGCCTCTTCATGCCCCCGGGCTCGTGTGTGGTGTGGCTCCGGCCCTGGGGCCGCCGCCATGCCGGACCAAACCCCGCGTGGAGCAGGGCGTCCATGCACCCCTACGGGGCCGCCCGCGGGCAGTGGCACGTCCACGTCTTCGGGGCGCTGCCGCCTGCCGCGCCCGCCGGGGCCGGGACGGGGGCCCCACAGGTGCAGGGCAGGTTCGCCATGCCGCGGGCCGAGGCGGGAGAGGTCTACGAGGAGCTGAGGCTGGACGTCTACGTGGACATGGCCGCGTTCGCCGTCGCCTTCGCGGACGTCGTCCAGTACCTTGCGGCCCGGCCAAGCTCCGCGAACTCGACTCGCAGCTCGCGGCCCCGCGGCAAAGGGCTGCCAGGAGGGGGACAAGAATACCAGGATGAACATGCCCAGTGTGATACCACGGATGAGGAGCACGGGCTAGGAAGGAGAAGAGGACGAGGAGGAAGGATTAGCGAGGAGGAGGAGGAGGACGAGGACATGGAGGAGGAGGTGGAGGAGGAGGAGGAGAGAGAGAGAGAGAGGGATGGAGGGAGAGGCGACGGGGAAGATGGGGAGAATGAGGCTGAGGATGAGGAGGAAGAGGAGGAGGAGGCGGATGCGGAGGAGCGGGCGAGGAAGAGGATGAGTAGAAGTATGTTGATAAGTATGGAGGAGGGTGAATGAGGGATGATGAAGAAGATGATGATGCTGATGATGATGCTGCTGATGATGATTATTATACTGCTCATGATGCTACTGCTGGTGATAATGATGATGCTGTTGATGATGATCGTGATGATTATGCTGCTGATGATGCTGCTTTCTGATGTTGCTGATGGTGATGCTGATGGTAATGATGGTGATTCTGATGGTGCTGCTGATGATGATGGTGATGCTGTTGATGCTGCTGATGGTGCTGATGGTGATGACGATGATGCTGATGATGGATGGTGGTGGTAATAGTGATGGCGGTGTTGATGCTGATGCTGTATATGACGATGAGGATGATCATGATGAAGATGAGGATGATGATGATGATGATGATGATGAAGATGTTGACGATGATGGTGATGATGATGTTGATGCTGATGATGATGATGATGATGATGATGATGAGGCTGATGCTGATGCGGGTGCTGATGCTGATGATACTGATGGTGCTGCTGCTGATGCTGATTCCAGTGATGATGATGTTGATGTTGGTGATGCTGGTGATGATGCTGATGCTGATGATGCTGCTGATGAAGAAAATGACGATGACGAGGCAAGTGAAGATGCTGCTGATGATGATAGGGGTGCTAGTGGTGATAGTGATGGTGATGGTGATGGTGATTATGCTGCCGCTGATGATGATGACGAGTATGATGATGCTGATTCCGATGATGATGATGATGATGATGATTATGATGATGATGACGATGATGATGATGATGATGATGATGATGATGATGATGATGATTATGATGATTATGATGATTATGATGATGGTGACGGATGGTGACGATGATGATGATGCTGATGATGATGATGATGATGATGATGATGATATCAAAGAAGGTGTTGATGGTAATGATGAAGGTGATGCTGATGTTGTTGATGATGCTGATGATGATGAGGATGAGGATGATCATGATGATGGTGATGATGATGTTGATGATGATGCTGAT